AGATCAGTCGTGCTTTTGAGGAACAGGAGGATGCCTGGGAACAAAAGAATTTGGTGAGATGAAATTGCTCAAGAATGGCCAGGATTGACCTGATTCCTCAGTGCAGTGGAGCAGGGAAGAACTAGGTCAGGGCTGAAACCTTTAAATACCATGTATCCCTTTGATTCTCTTTCCTCTTCCCAGAGCAGAACAAGCTGAAGGCACTGAAAAATTCAGCATCTGTGTCTTGGTTTCTCCACGTGTAAGATTTGTATGATATTATTTCCCCATCTCATATGCCACTGCGATTTCTTGTGTCTCATACAATGATTTGGATGTGGGCAATTAAGAATTCAATGTTAACAATTAATATCCTAAAGTCTACTTTGTTTTTTCACATAGACATATGTACGAAAGTGAGGAAGATAACAGAAAGTTGAGGAGAATCCAGAAAGCTGAGGAAATGAAACTCCTTTCTGGTGCAAATAAGAGAAAATAGGTTTGCCAGCTTCCTGTGATGAAGGATCTTGCTTATCTGCAGCAATTTTAAGTCTTGCTTTTTCTTTTTTCCATTAGAAGATTTTTTTGTGTGTTTCATTTGGTTTTGTTTCAGATTGAAAATGTTTCCAGCTGAAGCCCAAGAGCCAAAGTAAGACTCCAGATGCTGTGGACATCGAGTGAGCTTGGATTCTGCACAGTCCTTAGACAGAGCATGGCTTTGGGAAGACCAGCCTGTAGAGACAATAGCAGTCTGGTGCTGAAACACAGCTCTACATTTCCAGAAAGCTTTAAGAAGAAGAGAGTATATATCATCTGAAGTCATTGGATAAATTTTCAGTAGAAGACATGCCAACCAGATCCAACTGTCCATGCTGCTTAACAGGAAATACAATGTATAGGGCAGTGTTTTCAGTGTGGGGAACTATGTGTGTGTGAAACGATTTATTGGGGTTCTTGTTTCAGAGACTATTTACGAGCTATCTTTATACTTATAAACAGTAGTATACACTAACTCCTCTTGGGAAAGAGGAGTGCAGAGGACGATGGAATTAATGAAGCAGGTAACCATGTTTCTTGCTGTTTTGCTGCCTAAATGAGTCCAATATAAGAAAGGCACTGAGCTTGCAGCATGTCTGAGACTAAGTAGACCTGTACAACATAAGCATGGATGGATCCCTTTGTGAAAGGCAGAAATATTTCTTGAAGTCTGAACTATCCTGGAGCAAAGCTCTTTTTCTAATAGCTGATGCTGCGCTAATAAACGCTGGTTCCACTTTCAGACTGGACCAGTTGCGAAGCCAGTGACTGGGAACTAAAGGAGAAGTCAGTGCCTCAGGCCAGAAACCAAAATGATGTATACAAAACAGAAAACTGGAGTCTAAAGGCCCTAACTCCTCCTCACCTTCCTCCTGCAATTATCTGCTCACAGTTAGCCTCTGGAGCCTAGGTAAGAGAATAAAAAATGGTATTTAAGCAGTTTGTAGAGGCTAGTGCATTCAGCAGGGGAGTACTCTCAAGCTTGAACATCTCTCACTTTTTCTGTTTATCTTTCGACAGACTTGCTGGGATCATCTTCTGTCATCCAGGCTAAAATGAGGTCGCCAGAGGCAAGCCCTTTACTTTCCAAACAGAACTGTCACTTCTGCGATATTAGGAGAGACGTGCCAGACAACTCCTGCTCTAGATTCTCCTCTATTTCTCCCTCATATGAAAAGTCTGAAAATACAGCTCTGGGATCTGCAACTGCCAAAAGCATTCCCTGCAGATGCTACTGCCCTGCTCAGCAGCCCTCACCATGGGAGAACAAGGGGCTTGGGGTCTGCAGCAGCACAGCCCCAGCCCTGTTGCAAGCAGTGGTGTGACAACATCCTGCCGTGTCTGGTGGAAGAGTTTGAGTGTAGATGGATGCAAAATGCAGGTAAGGGGAGCAGTATTTCAGTTCCAGACAACAGTTACCCCAACCACTGCACCCTACAATCCTGGTTCTCCCCTATTACTGCACTCCTGCCTGGAAAACCAAAGTTTTGGACTTGCTAGCTTCCCCAGCCACTTCTGGGGCAATTTTTAGAGAAATCAAAAGGCCAACATGAGAACTTTTAACCAAGCTCTGGCTCAGTGCTCTGTAAGGACAAGTCAAAGCCACCCAGCTCCTTCGCTGCTGCTCAGAATCCCCTCACTCCAAGGGATGCAGCTGCTCAAGAAGCCAAGAGAGGAGGTGATCCAAGCCCCAAAGCATAGAATCATAGAACGGTTAGAGTTGGAAGGGACCTTAAAGATCATCAAGTTTCAACCCCCCTGCCATGGGCAGGGACACCTCCTCAAAGTCTCATTCAGTATGGTCTTGGAGCATCCCACTGTGCTCCTGGTCTTCCCACATCTAGACCCAATACAATTGCTGTAGAGATAACAGAGCTGGAGGTAAGTTGTCTGCATGTCTACCTCATCACCTTCCTACCCAGCCTCTCACCTCCTTAGTAAATACATCAGGCAATTAGCAGTTGCCATGAATGGGGATGCCATTAAAAAGCTGAGGATTATATTCTATAGAAGGGCTGAATTACAAACTTTCCATCCAGAATCCTGTAAAGGATCCCATAGACATGAATTTCACTTGTTTTCAGTTTGAAAAGAGGTGAGAGCTTCAAAGTATCAAACCTAATGTAATATTTATTATGTAAGAATTATTAACCAGGACAAACATCAATATCAAGATGTTCACTTGTCGAACAACAGGAGGTAACAGAGGCACCACCCTGGCAAGGTTTGCCCAGCAGGAGTTATTTGTGGGTGTACGTTATCCTGATGGGAAAGGCCTGAATCAGTCTTGGTGGTTGCTCTACTGTTTTCCCTGTTTTAAGTACAGGCACCAGGGAAGAATTTTGGAGAAGAGTATCTAATTTGCCAACAGAGATAACAAAATATGAAAAGCTGAGTCCACAAGGCATGTGTGAACAGATAGCTCTGCTTCAGGCAAAGTTGGTTTCCAGGACAACTTCAAGACACCAGTGAATTTCAATTTTACATAATGTGTGATCTTTATTTTCAGGGTAAGTCTAGAACTGTTGCTCTTGTTTTACATGTAAATGTTTACATGTAAGTGTTTACATATGTGTAGAAATAGCATGTATATACAAATAAAGTATGTACTATGATGGAACAGTTCAAGGTAGCAAACTAAACCACAGTGAAATACTGCATAGATATTTTGACCAGACAATGTAACTATCTTTTATTTAATTTTACTGTAATATGACAAAAATAGACCTTCCAGTCATTCAGGATCGATTGCATTATAAAAATAAAGATCTGATTTTACAATTAAACCTTTTTTTTTTTTTATGTTTCTAGTACATGCTGATGATAAGTGATAAGCAGGAAAGCTCTGAGCTGTGAGAAAAATAAGTTTTAGTTGGCTGATTTTGTTTCAGAATGCTCAGAACTGGCATTTACTTTAAACTACCGACTTCATTCTGATTTATATTTAGAGAATGCATGATATAAAAACTCTTCGGTTTTGAATATTTATCAAGAAGAACATAAATCCTCAGTATCGCACTTTAAAATGATTTTGCCGGCCTAGGCAAATGAGATTTTACATTGTGTTGTCAAAATTCTTCATTCCACTGCATTAAGTAAAAATATTGTATACTTCATAAATGTCCAGAAAGTCATATTTTAAAAGCCATAATAATCTATATTGCTCATCGTGCAATTTATGCCTAATAACAGTAACAAGTCTTTGCAGCCCCATTCATTAGAGGATAACAAAGCACTGAAACCAGTGATTAAGCCCGATAACTGTTGTTCTTTCATCCTTTTGCATAGTAGAACAATAGGCAAATTATCTGAGCAAAATTATCTGGTTAGAAGTAGTCTGTTACAATCTAATTCACTATTTAGAAAGTCAACACATAGCAGAAGAGAGATACAGCAGTAGCCTGTACCTCAGCAGCAGAAGAAAAGACAGATATTTCACTCTGGCCTTACTAATACTACTCACATCACCTTCACAACTCAAGCTCTTATAATCTTAATTCATTCTGTGGCATCGTGTACAACCAGTGCCTTTATACAAATGGAGAACTGAAGCAAAGATGTGTCACATCAAAACACGAAACCTGAGAAAAAAAGGGTCTACAGGTTCATATTGTCTTTTTGACACAGTGCTCTTTGCACAATATTTGCCAAAATTAAGAGTACCCGGGGAACAGAAAGGAGTTGCTGGAGGAAGGGAAGCCAAACATTGCTGAAAGCTGCATTTTGCTTCAGGACCAAAGGAGTTCCTTCCCTCTCAGCACTCTTTATCTCACACGATGACAAGATTGGACACAAAGTAAATTGCCAGAAAGACCTTTGCTTCCCCTCGCCTGCTCTAAATATTAGAGGATATTGACCTCCAGCCCTGTTTTATTTGAAGGAGTTCTGAATTATTTTCTTGTCATTACGAATCAGATAACATAAATCACACCTAGACACCACGGCAGCTAGTATTACACTGCTGCACGGTTAAATCAGATGCTGCTGCAAAGGGAAAATTCAGCAGAGCTTTATCCAGCACTGACTCATGCATTCCTCCTTCTAGTCCTGTTATGAGTTATGCTAATGCACAGAGGCCACAGATGAGATTAGAGTCCAACTGTCCTAAATGATTTGCAAAACAACAGGAGGAAAAAAAAGCAAATGCTCTTAACTGCTTTTAGACTAAAGAGGAAAAACACTCAAGAGGAAGAGAATTTTCATTTTCCTCATGTCACAGATGGGGGAATAGGGAGATCAAGACTAATCAAAATTTCTGAGCCTCTTCCCAAAGCTTTTGCTAGTTTTTGATCACACCACAAGTACTTTATCAAGGGAAAGAGCCAGTGTGAAAGGCTGGCTCTAAACCTTAATCTCCAGAATCCTAGCCCAGGACCAAAAAACTTGGAATTAAATTATCCTGTCTGCTTCTCCTCTACAATAAGCAAATGAACCCAGAAGAGGAATCTCCTCTGCCTTTCAAGTGACATTTCTGTGTCCTTTACCTGATCAGAGGCTGGTGTAACGCTACCAGGGACGCGTGCACTGTGACGGATATCACTGACAGGTGGAAATAGTCAAACATGACAGGAACATGGTGGTGCAGACCTCTCCGGGGGTGGAAGTGAAGACACAGTGTGCGGCTGCTGATCATAGGGATCGCTGGGACATCTCTCAGCCTGCAAGAGAAAGGGGATCAGAATGGTTAGTGAAAGCTTGAGTTGTCACCGCCTGGAACGTGCTACAGGCAGCAGACTGGGAGATGGCTTGAGGTGAATTTTTATCACTTCCCAGCTTCCTAAGGCTCTACATAACTGAGGAGTATCTTGTGTTGTACTTGTGCCTAGCAGAAATATAAATATATACAATATAAGGATGCATAAAGAAATATAAATATATACAATATAAAGATGCAAATTGTAAATTTATATACAATATAAAGATTCATATAAAGGTACATGTAAAGATACATACACATGTACATGTGTAGATACAGAAATAATAAATAACAGATGTAGAGATACCTATAAATATACAGCATTAAAAAAATAGATGTGATATAATTCCAGTTTCCCCTGGTTACTGTCCTTGATGTCCACCTATGCACTAGTTCTGGGGACATCATGAACTAAGTAGCAGAGGGAAATCCATTTAGCAAACTGCTCCACTTATTTGAGGACAGCTCACTACTTGTGATTTTCAGTATACGAACAACCAACTTGGGAAATCTGTGAAAGTCAGAAACAGTCGTGTGTCAGAGCTGAAAATATTCAGAGTACCTTTCCAGAGAACTGATCTGCTGAAAAAAAATTCTTCAAAGAGTTAAAAAAAAAAAAAAAAAAAAAAAGAGAGTTGCTTTACTGCAAGGATAAGCTAAACTTTAGCTGTGGAAGAGAATTGAACCACAGTTCATCCGTGAAAGCCTAACATAAAACAAAACACTGTAGCAATTAGTATGTCAGGTTCTTTATTAAGGTGTCTGGAGCTGGCAGTGCTTCTCTAGGTCAGGTTACACCCCAAGAGGGTCTCCAGAACAGCTGGTCTTGCTTTCAGATGTGAGTTAATGGGGGTTAAAAAATAAAAAAAAAAAAAAAAAAAAAAGTAGGTGAAGTAACTGCAGAGAAAGGATATAAGTTGGACTGGCTTCCCCTCTTTCCAGTAATAAAAACCAAGACTGTAATTTAAAATTTGATTATAACTATTCCAGAATAACTTTCCTAGCATGCAGTCAACCACATGACACCTGAGTCACCTGTAGGGCAGGTGACTGAAACATAAACCTGGAACATGCCTAACGAAATCCTCCCAATGCAAGCGAAATTCACTTCTGAAGAAGAATTCTTTTACAGTATTAAAGACCATTCTGAAGCCAATTGTTTCTCAGAACTAAGAAAACTTATGATGAGATGGCTGAGTATGGTTTATGGTTAGTCCCAAGAAGTGTTTCACTGAGATTTACAGAATATCCTTTTATAAAAATCACTGGTTTGTTTATAGTAAATAGGATTCATCATTCAGATGATAACAGAAATTCTATGTATATGTTAGAGCACAATTTCATAATTTGAAAACTTTAGCACTTTTTATCCTTGGTTATCACTTAATGTTTGTTTTTTCTCTCTTCTAGACCTATCAGCATCACAGCTGATGACTGATGGTGCAGTCTCCCCTGCCCAAGAGAACAAGTGTTCACTTGTTCACATGTTCTTGAGTTTGTTTAGGTGGATATGAATAAAATCACATGGGGACAGTCTGGGTATGAAACAACTCAGATGATTTCTCTGCACCTGTTCCCACCCCCCCATAAATTCTGCTGAAGTCATTGGAAGCCTTTTCTGTGATTCAGAGAGGCTGAATAATGTCTGCGGTCACACTTTCTGCTGTGTCTCAGGAAGGGATGCTACTCCCACTTCACCTAAGATCATGGAATCAAATGCAGTGGGAAGCAATCAAAGTCAATGGTAAGGCTCTTTCCTCCTAAATTAGAGAGCCAGCTTCGGTTCTTACACAAGAAAAGTGCTTAACACATTCATACACTCATCTTCAACCAGAAAATACTTTGTTGTCTCCTGAGATAAATGCATTCCTGAACCACAGCCCCTGCTCACATGGAGGTCAGTGATGATATTCCCTTTGGCTTTAACAGCAGCAGAGATAGAGCAACACTTAACACCTTTGAAAACCTCACACTTAAAGGAGAAAAAATGTTCCTTTAGAAAGGATTAGGAGATACACTATTCAAACACAGAGAAGTGAAACAGAAGGACTTCAACACTGAGGCAAAGGAAAGACTTATCCAAGCTATCCCTTTTTCCAAAGGGCTCTCACTTCATTAAAATAATTTACCAATTGAACAAACCCCTGCATTACCAACTGCGCTTTAAAAATGCACTTACTGTTGTTCGCTGTCAGTGAAGTGCAGGTCCAGCTTGAGCTGAAAATCTGCCTCACTCAATGCATCTTCCACCTACGAAATGAGAAAGGTGAGGTTACCTTTAGAAGTCAGCACCTGCAACATGGGAGACAAGGGTGGACAGCAAAAATATCATGTGTGACCACAGGCCAACTGAAAAGTATCTTCATCTGCTAAGTCCCACCAGCAATGCTACCCTTCTTTTATTGTCAACAGAATACTTTCCCTGGATTTTCTGAAACAGTACATGAAGGGAGCTGTCAGATCATTACCTTCACCTGGAAAGGACTATATTGGGTAACACATCCCAGCCTGGCACAATTAAAGCAACTCTAATCAATGGAAATAAATAACGTAGCATGAAAGAAGGATGAAGCTGTGCAGGATTTTCTCCTTTGCTCCTTTGAAATGTCTTTTCTTCCCCAGCAATGTAGGTTTAGTAGAATAAAAAAAATTGTTCTTTCTAGCAACCTAAATGGAAGTATAAACAAAAAAATCCTTCATTTTATTACCAAAATAGACTTGTTCTGTGATTCTAAACATCCTTGTATTGTATACCAGAGTACAACAGGAGATACACAGGAATGCAGGTGGAAAAGTGGAGTTGCACACTGGGGATAGGGTATCATAAATACAACTTTTTACCCACAAAAAGGTGGGGTGAGACCTCTAGGTTCTGTCTTTTGTCAGTGGAAAGCAACAAGCAGAAGCACAGAGTGAGCCAAGTCATCCCGAGATACACATCTGAAAAGGAACAGTGATTTCTTTTGGTGCCTGTCTCTTTCCACTGGCAATAGATAGAGCCTAGAGAAATGCATTGGTCTAGATACACTTGAATTTTAGATAGCTTCAGTTAGGCAAGATGAATTCTACTTTCTCCAGCTGATTAGCACCTTCTTAATTGCAGACTATATCAAAAATGCACTGAAGGCAATGGCAGAGGCATTTCCAAAGGGGAAACTCCATCTACAGTGTGTCTTTTTCTGTTAAAGCAAGAAAATGGAGAGTCAGGAATCGATTGCGCTTTGACAAAATTTATCAAAGATGTAAAATTTAAATCCTTCTGAAGTAATATGGTATTTCTTCTGGCATGACCACAGGCACAAAGCTGTGAGGAGAAAATTCCAGCTTTTGTTTACTGAAAATGTGCTTTCTCTTTTGTGTTTGTCACAAAACACCTGGAAGTATGCCTTTCAGAAAAAAAAAGGCTTTTCCTTTTTTAACGAGTTGTTGTCACTAAAAATCACAGTTGCTGGCAGTTGCAAAGGAAATAATCATTATTGAAGCTACAGTCTGAATTTAAACTAGGAATCCAACTCAAGTATAGTGCTTCAGACAGTGCAAACCTCATCCTCCAACAGAGGGGATGAAATTTTGGGTCTGTGCCTAATACTGCTGAGCACCTGCAACTGTCACTGAAATCTGAGTCTGTGTTTAAAACAAGTTCAATAGGGAGTGACACTAACTCAAAACACCTTGAGGCAATGAGCAGATGTCTGAGAGACTTGGAGACACTCATCGCCGCATGGGGTCGTGCATTAAGGTGCAAGTGTAGGATATTTTTAATCTCCAAACGTATTGAAATCAGACTGCTCAGCACAATGCAAAAACCTGCATAATATCAAAACACAGCTCTCACTGCAGAGTTTACATATTTTTTTTGTACACTGGAGGTATAAATATTAAGGCAAGTGAAAATTGGACAGTTGTTCAAAAATCACTGAACTTTTCATGAGAAAATATCATTAAAAGACTTATACATAGGTTGAGATATAACAGAATTACATATGGTAATTACATGACAGAAGTTACTATGCAGCTTTGATACCTGCTGAGCTTTCCTGTGTTTTACTTCCACTTGTTAGAACCGCAGGTGTATAAGATCCTTTAAATGGGAAAAAATGAGGTGGCCTTTCCATACTTCATACAGGAGAGGCACTGAAATTTCTATCATTCCTCAGTCTCTTATATGAAGTGCTATTATCCTTAAATGAAATAATGGCAGCAGATTTTAGCACTACTGGGATTATGATGGTGTTTTCCACAGCTCTCATTTACAGACACTACAATTTTCCAAAAGTTTGACAGACTATCACATTTATTTTTTTTCACCCCTGAAGAAAAGCTTTAATTTTTCACACTAACATACTTAAGAAATTAGCCTGAAAAATTTCTCTGGAGTGTAATTAGTTCTTGACTGGCTAAGCCAAGCAGTGGCCTTCCAGATACTCTGTGAAGTGTCTTCCAGTGGCTTTTACAAAGTTTTTGACCTTTCAACCGTGTTAATGATTAAAATCACACCTCATGAAAGAAAAAATAAAAATCTGTGTTTGTGGAAATATGCTCATGGTAAACAAGGAATATCATTCTGTTCCGTAATATTCCACACACCCAAATAAAAATAAAAGAAATTCAGAATGTCTGACGTTTGGGAAATATTATTGCATTTTACATTCTGATCTCACCTCCACTCAAAAATAAAATAAGACAGTTCTGAACAGAAATTTTGAAAACTTTCTTTGAAATAGTACATGCATTTCATTCTTTTTTTGTCATTTCTGATTTGATTAATTCTTCATGGTTTGCATCAGTTCAATATTACTTTGCATTTACTTGGCCCATCATCTTGTGTCTTGTGGAAAGTAAAGTCTGCAAACTCAGTATCTCATTCTCTGTTGCTGAGATGTGCCTACATTTCCCCTAGTGCTCCCTCCTTGGGCCTCAAAGCTTGTGTACAAATACCCCATATTCATCTATGAGCAAATATAATTTTCCAGAAGGTGGTGTCCAGAATTCAGGCTGCTTTCTAACCTCCACCTCTCTTGCCAAAGGGCCACACTGATAGGGAAATGCATTTTATTAAACACTGTTTGGAATCTGTGCAATAGAAAGTATTTGTACCCCAAAGCTAAAAATATTTAAACAATAGAAGTATATGCAAAGCAAAGTATTCCAACTTGCCTGGAATCAAGTGTATCATTTCAGTTTTGAATTCTAATTTTTCAGATTTACATTTACATCTTTGGTTTAGATTTTAAGAGCTGCAATAATAGTTATAACTGAAGTTTTCATACTACTTCCATAATATTTATCAATTTAGCCAGAATGTCAGACTGAATGATCCAGACGTCCCATCTCACTTAAATTTCTCTGGAAAGTACAAAATCTAATATACTGTGCTATCCCAGCATGCCTCACACTGTCCTCTCCCTGCTACTAAATTGTCCCTGCATGGAGCCAGCAAGCAAGGAGACAGACAAGTTACCTGTTTTATTGCTTGATGAAAGAAGCAGAGCTCCTTCTTCATTAAGAATGAGAGCAAAAGCTTATGAAAATAAATTAGACTTCTTTGTAACACTAAAGGGTGCCTCAGACCTGCAATATTGTTTCCTATGAATTCAGAAAATGCTGCATTCTGGGATAATATAGAAAAAAGCATTTAATAAACCAGAGAGTTTTAAAGCACAATTTCTTCAGTGAAAGGTACGCTCAGTGTCACTTCTAGGTGTATAATTGAGGCTTCTGCCATTTAATGCCAGTCAAAAAAGATGTATCTAGAGTTATGCAAGAGGAAGGAGGAAAAAAAAAAAAAAAAAAAAAAAAAAA